ATGGATTGATTCGGTGACTGGGGTAATCGGGATGAGTGTGTCAGAGGCAGTGCGGTTGGCGCAGGACAGAGCAGGGTTTAGGGCTGTTGTGCATAGGTTCGCTACGAGTTGAAAACGACTCGACGGCACATAACAACAACAGCCATAAAACCCATTTTTTTAATATATTCAGAGTTATCTGGCCTATAGCATATTAAAAGCTAAAAATAAAATAGCTTTATTGGTTTAAATTTAGTAGATTAAAAAAAAAAGTCTCAGCCATAGAATAGATCCTGAACTAAGTTGGAAAGCATAGTTCCTGTTTTTGCTCTGCCCAGCTGGGAGCAAATTTTTGGGTCTCTAGTTTTTTATATGTATAGATTAAGCCATTCATTTGCTTATTCAAAAGACTACTAGGTTTTCTCTCTGTGTCTGCCAAAGCAATTTAAAAAAGAAAAGAGAAAAGACCATTGCTTGTCCTTGAAGAGCCCACAGCCAACAAATAATGAACACAAGTCATCCAGTTCTACCACTGTTTTATTTTACTTCACAAAATGGCTGTTAGTTGAGTTAGCCTTTGTGATAATTTCAATGTAAAGTTTTATGGGGAATGGCATTTGATTAGCTATTGAGTATTTGAATACTATTTTTAGGTGCCAGTCGTTTGAACTCTGGGTTAGAAAAACCAATCCTTGTAGCTTTAACTTCATTCTTTTCCATTTAAGTCATCTGTTCTAGTGACTCTAGTATAAAGAAGACCACATATGTCTGTCTGCTTTTCTTTTGAAAGATACTTAAAATCTTTCTAGTTGCACTTTGAAAGTTCGTTCATACATTGCCCTTCCTCTTTTCTCATGGCAGTAGTTGTAATGTTGTCTATGTAGTTCAGATTGGGGTATTCCCAACAAGATACAAAGAGCTAGTCACAAATCTAAGGGCTTGCTTTTTCTCCCAGAATTGGTAGGCGTGCCAAGAGTTCACTGCCTTTTTAACACTCAACAGCAAATAATAAAGTTTCAGAGATCAGTTCCAAATTCATCTTATGTAGAAGAACCAGATCCTTCTGAAATTACATTTTCTTTTGAGTAAGGATCTTTTTATTTTCAATCTCTTAATGTTAAGCAGCAAACTCACTGCCTTCTTACAACCCAAACTGAACAACTTTTAGAAAACAGCTATGTTTGTTGTATAGGAAAATTTCCCCAACCTTTTCTTTGCATCTTTGATTTGTTAGCAACTGACTTTATTGTGTTTCTGGGAAAGCCACTCCAAAAAAGAAATGAGAAACATAATGTAGAAAGATGTCATGAATGAGGAAGGGTTGTGCAAATGTGAGTGTTCCAGGGTTTGCAAAAGCATGCTGAGTTTCCTTATTTAAGACAAATACTTATTTTCATTAACATTTTGAGCTCTTCCTATGTTTTGATTTCTCTGACTTTGTCACAAAACAGGAGACTCTAGAATCACGTATTGCTGTTGTTGTTGATTGCCATCGAGTCGAGCACAACTCATAGTGACCCTATGAACAAAAGGCCTGAAGCCTTTCTACGACTGTCATCATTTATCAAAGTTCATAGAGTTTCCAGAAGCATGTTGTTTAGGAAGTAGATGCCAGTCCTGTTTCCAAAGAATCACATATTAGAATACTGAATATTTTTTGTTGTTTGATTTAGTATTCCCAGACATCAGTGCTAAGAGCTGAGGTGATTTCCAGTGCATGTGTAAACTCACAGCTTGAGCAATGCGTCGATTCTGGAACGTTTCTTCTGAGTCATCTGCTTTTTTTTTTCAGGTGAAAATCGTGGTAATGAATGAGAATGCCACACTTAGGACAGCCCTGGATAAAAATCTGAAGAGTGCTGTCAACGCTGCTTTCCTCATGCTCCCGGAGAGCTTTTCAGAAGAAGAGCTCTTTATCACATTGGCTGGACTCTCCTATTCAGGTTAGTGTAGTCAATGACCATTTTCTACATAGATATCTGTGGTTTGAAGATCTTATAACATCCTGTTCCCCATTCTGGATTAGACTTGCTGCAACTTTAGTTGAAAATTTCACTTTCTGCTCAGAGATTTGTCTCTTCCCCTCCTGGGTCTTCCCCTCCACATCTCATCAGCTATTGCCCAGATTTTGTTTTCTATTACTATTGTTCACTTGCCTCTGGAAACTCTATAAACCTGGAGAAAGGACAAAAGTTATAGAAGTGTCCAGGTCTTTCATTCATAGGGTCTCTGTGAGTCACCTATGACGCAATGGCATTTAACAACAACAACACCAGCATAGAGAGAAGTCAGGTGACCTAGTGAGCAGAAAGTGAGGCTACCAAGCCTCAGGCCTGTCTTTCATTGTTTTTGGTGAAACATTCTTCTAGGTCGTATAACCCTGGCCCGTCCACTTGCTGTACAGAGAGGAAACTCATGGTTGCTGTGAAGCTGAACACTGTGACACTGACATGTCAAATGCAATAATGGTTACCCGTGGCAGACAGTGTTTGGTGAGGCTCCCCTATTAAAACAAGCTTGGAAGCAGGAGTGGCATCCACTTCTGAAATAGCTCACCTCTGGAAGAACCTGGAGAAAGGACGAAAGTTGTATAAATGTCCAGGTCTTTCATTCATAGGGTTGCTGTGAATCACCTACGACTCAATGGCACTTAACAACAATAACAACATTACTATTGTTCATTTTTATTTTTAAAATAATTCAAATTTAAGGAAATGTTATGAGCTACAAAAAACTTCTTTAAACCTTTTATCCAGATTCACCAATTTGTTAGCATTTCACCATCATCCTTTTATTGTTTTCTTTATTGATTGTTAGGTCCATTAAGTTGACTAGAGTTGGAAAATCAAAAGGGCCGAACTCGTTCAGCATTTCTTAAGCTCAAGGAACTGAAGAGCAAATTCAAACCTCGAGTTGCTACAATCAAGGATGCTTTAGGCAGAATTTTAAATGATCCAGGAGGTATCAAATGAAGATGGAAGGAATATACTAAGTCATTGTACCGAAAGGAATTGGCAGATACAGAAGCATTTAATAAAATAGCATTTGAGCCAGAGCCGATGGTGATAAAGGCATAAGTTCAAGCTGTTTTGAAAGAAATAGCAAAAAATAAGGCCCCTGGAATAGATGGTATGCCAACTGACATATTTCAGCTAACAGATGCTGCCGTGGATGTGCTCACCAAGTTGTGCCAAGAAATCTGGAGAACAACCACTTGGCCAACTGACTGGAAGAGGTCTATATTTGTTCCCATCCCAAAGAAGGGCGACCCACTGAGTGTGGAAACTACAGAACAATATCATTGATTTCACATGCAAGTAAGATTCTACTGAAGATCATCCAAAAACGACTGGAACAGTACATCAGCAGAGAACTGCCAGAAGTCCAG